ACCCCCTCTTCCCCACCTTTCTGGGAGGAGTACGTTTCCCTGACTCTTGATTCAGGGCTCCGTGAAATGACTTGCATTAGTGGTTAGATGTTAGCAGATCTGAAGCAAGCAGGGACTTGCAAGGTTCTTGCACACTTGGGCTTCTGCTATTGCTGCCGGAACACACTCTGGCCAGCCTAATGGTCCAAGGAGGATGCAAGGATTTGGAACATAATGTAGACCCAATTTGCTGAGATACCCTGCTGAGCACAGCTGAGGTTAGTCCACCCAACAGACCTGCATAAGAGTTAGCAAGAAATACATGCTTATTATTGTGTGCCTCAGAGATCTGGGGGATGTTTGTTATGTAGCAAGAGCTGACAGATACAACCCTATAGCAAAAATGTACCAACTATAATTTTATTTAGGAAGGGGAGCCACAGACTCTGGTTTCAAACTACTTCTGACCCTGTTTCCTTGTCTGTGAGATCTGTAGAGTTGTTAGGAGGACTGAATGAGATAATTCAAGAAAAACAGTGCAGACCTGGCACGTGGAAAGTGTCCAGTGTGTGTATTATTAGCATTAGTGTCATCACTATTATATTAAGGTGTGGGCTTCCCTGGTGGCTCAGCAGTAAAGAATCTGTCTGTCAAAGCAGAAGATGCAGGTTCAATTCCTGGAAGATCAGGAAGGCTCAGGAAGATCCCCTGGAGAAGGAAATGGCAACTCACTCCAGTATTCTTGCCTGGGAAATCTCATGGACAGAGGAGCCCGGCAGGCTACAGTCTATGGGGTCACAAAGAGTCAGACATGACTTAGTGACTAAACAACAAAAACATATTAAGGTGTTTCTGAACCCTGGGTCCCTGCCTTCAGTAGCAGTTCCCACTGGGTGTGGATCTATGCCAGCAGTAGAAAGCTCCAGATAACAGAATGTGAAGTGAACAGAATATGAACATTTACTGTACACTGATGTATGTATGGGTTTCCCTGGTGGCTCAGTGGTAAAGAATCTGCCTGTAATGCAGGAGCCACAGGAGATTCAGGCTCCATCCCTGAGTCACGAAGATCCCCTGGAGGAGGGCACGGCAACCCACTCCAGTATTCTTGCCTGGAGAATCCCATGGACAGAGGAGCCTAGCAGGCTACCGTTCATAGGGTCACAGAGTCGGACATGACTGGAAGCGACTTAGCACACACATGCATGAACGCACCATGTATGTATGGCCTTCCAAAATAACCTCAACTGAACTTCCCCACCTTCTACCAAAGGGCTGAGGCACCCCGCCTGTTTATTACAGCCAACTAATTGATGACACAGCAGTTCTGGAGGACGTGAACAGCGTCCTCATCTTGAGCCCCGTGGGTGAGAGGGGCTGAGACGTGGGTGAGAGTTTTAACCGGCTCGGGCCGTGGCCGGCTGCCAGCACAGCACTCAGCCAGCGCCTCGGCCCCCTCCCCACATCTGTCTTCCCTCCTCACGGACTCTTAACGCCGCTGAATGCTAACAGGCAAAATGTACATGCTTGGAGAAGACCCAAAACCCAGGAGCGAGAACAGCACCCCAACAGAATCTGTCTCATGAGATCACTTCACCTCCACGCTTCATCTCCCCACAAAGCTACCCCAGGCAGTTCCTTTTTGTTTCCCGGGAGAGTGAACGATGAAAACCTCTCCAGGCCCCACCCACGCCCACAAAAGGAGAAGGAGAGTGATTTCCAAACTGTATCTAATTCATGTACTATGATATTGTCATGCGGAGCCACACACAACCACAGGCTCTGACAGCCTCTCAGTGATCCTCCACCAAACCTAAGGGTTTCCAAACCCCTAGAACCTGCTGATAAATTCTGCAGATGCTAGTATCGTCTTGTCCTCAGCATTATCAGGAATCTACTGATGTTTGCCTGAGGACTGGAGGTATTTCTAGTGGCCCAACGGAATCTTAGAAAACAGAAAACAACCTAACCCGTGTTGCATAATCGGGCTGAGAAAACATGTTTCGTATTAGAAAGGCAGCCAGCAATTTCCTAGGACTCAGACAGAGGTCTGAGCTGTCCATTGGGCTCGGGACCTGCTCAAGAATAATAATATTTGAACCTCCTTGTATCTCCGTATCTGTGAAGCAGAGAGACGTCTACCTGCCCTCCCGTCACTGAATTGCCTCTGTGTATATTGGACTCCGTCTTCCCCTCTGGAGAGGATGAATAAATATTAAGCACGAGAATTATCAGGCTTCTCAGAGAAGTTGGGAAGATCAATGTTTCTAGCACAAGTAGAAAATGAAAATGAAGAGATATCAAGGTCCTTGGAAGCAGACCTGATCCGTACAAAAGTACAACAAAACCTGCCGTGTAATGAAAAAGGCAAAAAATAAAAGGAAGCTCCCTGGCAGTCCAGTGGTTAAGACTCAGTGCTTTCACTACTGTGACCTGGGTTCAATCCCTGGTTGGGGACTTGAGATCCCACAACCCATGCAGCGCAGGAAAAAAAAAAAAGGCAGTCTTGGAGTCCATCAGATCTGCCCACATTCTCAGTCAACACAGAGGGGCCTTCAGAGAGGCCCCCAGGGGGCCTTCTAAGCAGTGCCCCAGCCCCACACCATGCTTCCCCAGCATGGCAGGTCTCCCCACTGCCAGGCTCCCTTAGCCCTTATTTCACATTAAAGCAGTTTCAGATCTGAGGGAGGAGATGCTGGGCGAGAGGCTGGCAGAACTTGTCCTGGTTATTTATGAACATGGGCTCTGGAGGCAGGCGGGCCTGGCTTCAAATTCTGGCTCCTCCACTTGACCTTGGGCAAGTTACTCAAGCTCTCTCAGTCCTAGTTTTTTCATCTGTAACTGCATAGGTAGGAATACCTCCACTGCAGCGTGGTGCTGCGGGCTCAAGGACGTGTATACATCCCCTCCCCCAGGGCCGAGCACGCAGCACATGCCCAGTGGAGTGGAGATGGGTGGTGGACGGGTGGGTGGGAAGCAGCAGAGCTGGCTTCGTCTTGTGCAACCCCTTGTACTTTTTGAACAGAGGAGCCCCCACTTTTGTTTGCCACTGGGCCCTACAAATCACAAAGCTGATCCTGGGGTGCAGCCAACCTAGGAAGCCAGCTGCTAGGATCCCAGGAGTCCCTACCATCCAAGAGAGTCAGAAGGCAAACCCTGGCATGACCCCACATTTGTGTACTTCTGGTGCTTTGGGCAAGGACACCGCATTTGGAACAAAGCAGAAGATGGGAATATTTTGTCCTAAACCTGCAGCATCTCATAGCAAGCTCCCAGGGATTTGTTTAAAAAGAAAGAAATGCAACCTCAGAGCTGGGGAGAAGGGTCCTTCTCCGCTCTCCTCCTGAAGGGAGAATGATGAGCAATCTCCTTTGGCCCCTTCCTTCCTCTATCCCAAGCAGGTGAGCACTTCAGTAATAAATATAGTAAATTTGGGAGCAAGAAACTGGGCTTCCTGGGAGGGCTTGGTGGTGTCTGTCTGGGATCATCCAGCCACAACAAAGCCAGCAAGGCTGCCTAATTCTGGGGGTTCAGCATTAAGGAAGTCATCTGGCTCTCACCTGAGCCATACCCTTCAACCAGCCTTGTCAGCAACAACAGTGACTTAGGGCTTTCATTTATTATTATTCTACCGCCTTACTCCTCACTCTGTTCAGTTCTTGGGTGGGAAGAGGTTGCTATTTAATGGATACCCTCAATGACCCCAGCAGCCGCAGGAAGCCCCACCATTCATCTTGTGATTTAGGATTAATTAAAACACCTTATTAAAAGCCTCACTTTCTCAGAGGAAGTGGTATGGTCACCGGGGAGAATCTGAGAGTCATTGCCTCTCCCAGGTGAAAGGCACTGAAATCGTCTACAGATGGTCCCCAATTTACAACGGTTTGAATTACGATTTTTCGATGGTGTGAAAGCAATATGCATTCCTTAGAAACTGTATTTTGAATTTTGGGTTTTGAGCTTTTCCTGAGCTGGTAATAAACGGTAAGTCGCTCTCTCAGGATGCACGGCAAGTTCCCAGTCAGGCAGGCAAGCACAAGAGTGAACAACCTGCACATTTACAGCCACTCTGGACCAGACAACCATTCTGTTTTTCACTTGCAGCACAATATTTAATAAACATGAGAAATTCAATACTTTATTATACACTAGGCTTTGTGTTAGATAATTTTGTCCAACTGTAGGCTAACGTTAAGCGTTCTAAGCCCATTTAAGGTTGGCTGGGCTAAGCAAGGATGTTCCGTAGGTTAGGTGGATTAATTTTCAGTTCACAATGTGATCAACCTACATATGATGGGTTAACTGGGACCTAACCCCATCCCAAGATGAGGAAGATCTGTACTTCAGACCCCTTGGTTCAAGAAGGAGAAAAATCCAAAGAGGTTAAAATTCTGGCCCATTGGTTCTCAAACAAGTGTGCATCAGAATCGTCTGGAGGGCTTGTTCAAACACAGATTTCTTGGTTCCATCCCAGTTTTGGATTCAGTGGATCTCAGGGTGAGGCCCAAGAACGTGCATTTCCACCAAGTCCCCTGGAGATGGTCCAGGAATCCCACTTTGAGAATCACTGACCTGGTACAAAACATGTTGGCCTATTATTACAGAACCCAGGGGTTCTGTGTTCCAGGTAAACAAATGCCTTTCTAGGCCCATGTTCTTGGCTCATGGCTGCTCCTTCCTCAGCCCTGGCTGGAAGTTCTCTTGGCTGCAGTTTTCATACTTGCCCTTTCCACCTAAGGTGACCCTGCCCTCCTCCCCAAAGTCATGTCTATAATGAGCCTTGAGCTTCCTAGGAAAAAACCACTTTAAGAATAGTATTTCTGGCACTAACGCATATTATAAAAAATAAGACAAGACTGTTTTATGAAGAACAAATAATGAATTTAAAGATAAAGTGAATACAATCATGCTATGCACCAAGAACTCCAAAAGTTTATCACTACTCTTCTGATCCTTTTACAGTTTCTGATCCTTCTCCATTTATTTTGCTAAAAATAAATAAGAGAACCACTTACACTTACCCAGAGTGTTGGTAGCAAAGTTTTTTTCAAGTCCGTCTTCCGTGAGCTCTCTCTTATTGACCATGCAACCTGCATTATTGATCTAGAAATTATAGTTCCCATTTCAAAATAAAGGAAAATAGGGCCAAGGGACCTGTTTCCACATCCCGTAGCTCCACGCCACCGCTGGTCCCACGTATACGTGATGACAATGCATGTTCTGCTCCACTGTCTCTTCACACCAAACCCCTTCCTGGAAAATGCCACTTGTGCAGCAGCCTCAGCCATGGGACTGTGCAGAGACCTCCAATGACCAAGACTTGGCCAAGTGACCTAATTCACAATAAAGTGCCCTGGAAATTTGTCTAGACCAATGCTATCCAGTAAAAGTATCTAATTTCAAGTTTTCTAGAAAGTAGTCACATTAAAAAGGTAAAAAGAAAAACAGCTTCTAAGAGTTATCTGAGGTGCTGACTCCCAGGCTTCAGTCCTCGTTTTGCCCCAAATAAAATATAACTCACCAAAAAAATAAATAAAAATGTAAAAAGAAACAGGTAAAATTGATTTTAATAATGTATAGTATTTAACTCACTATCTAAAATAGTAGCTTTTCAAGATGTAATCAACATAAAAATGTAATCAATATAAAAATGTTAGTTTACTTTTGTTTTTTTTTTACACTAAGTCTTCGACTTTGGTGGATTTTTACACTGATGGAACATCTCAGTTTGAACCAGCTACATTTCAAATGCTCTGTAACCATACTGGACAGTGCAAGACTTGGGTGTGAATGAACATTTTGGAACACATGAGAAACTCTTTGGGCAGAAAAGCAGCTCAGCTCAAAGCAGAATCTGTGTGAGGAGCAGAGGGACACCAGCCCACCTAAGTCTTCCAACTTCCTCAGTGGAGCAGCTGACTGATACTAAAAGATTTAGTTGTCTGCAACAGGTGTTCTTTTGCACTAAGCTTTTTAATTTTCCCCTGAGTCTCTAATTTTAATACATCAATCCCCAAATCTATAGTGTTCAAGAATGGCAGTACACAAGTCACTATTTTATGAAAAAATGGAACCTTTCCATCACCCCCCAAAGACCCAGTATAGGGTCCCTTCCTTTACTCACACATCCAACCAACATGGTTAGAATGACTCAAATGAGTGAAACTGGTGACATAAATAGGCCTCCCCGTAAAAGATTCTCACTGAGGTGTCACCATACAGATACACACACACACACACACACACATACACACAGTCTTCATCCACACAGAGGAGAAACACACAGGCATGAGATTTATCCCCTATTTATGTTTACAAAGCTCACCAAGACATTGAGGGTATGTTCCTGCTTGAAATTTTCAACAAATTTCCAGATTGACTTGGGAACAGAAAGGTCCACAATATGCAGGAAGATGTTCTAAACCAGAAAACAAAAGAAGTCATACAATTTAAAAAAAAAAATGTACTTTTTTCATTAAAAATGGTTTTAAAAAACAAATCATTTGGAATGATCTAAAATGTAAAGTCTCACTGCTCAGAAGTACATCATTGTTCACAATTTCTTATGAATCACCCAGAAATACTTTAAGTACATACAACATTTATACATACATGTTTTAGGCATTATATACACACATATATACACACTAAGCATTATATATATATGCACATGTGTATGTGTAGCCCCTTTCCATATAAATAGATTCAGACTATACATTGTTCCATATCCTTCTTTTTCACTTAACAACATGTTTTAGAGATTTTTTTCTTTAAATATAAACCTACTTTATTTCTTCTAATGGCCACAAAACATTGCATGGATGTGTCATAGTTTCCTACCAATCATTTGGGGGTTTTTTGTCAATATTTTGTTCCAAAGAGAATATCTAGGGCACATCAGAACTATGAGATGACAACTTCCTCTGTGACTCAGCCCTTGCTTACAATGTCAATCTCAGCCTTGTGCTATGGTTACCTCTGGACACAGCCCCACTCCCCCACCCCACCCCACTTAGACTCAGAATTCCCTGACGGAGGAGCCGCATCGAGGGCGCCCCATGGCAGTGGTGCGCACACAGCCATGCATGTAAATGAGCAATGCACGCTGGCCGTTGGGCCCCTTTTCCCAGCACATAAATGAAACTTGCATTCTCAGCACCCACTGAACGGCCCTGAGTTCAACGTCACTGAACGTCACTGAGGCTCAGCGTCCCTGAACTCCAGCAGGCGTCAGAGACTTATCACCAACCCAAGGCAGAGATTTCTGCTGCTGGGAACTGACCTCCAGACAAGCCATAAAACCCATAATACAGCAGAGTTCAGTGCCCTGCCTCAGTTTCCCCAGCAACTGAGCCACTGAACCCAAGGAAGAATTTCTACTGATCTTAAAACATGTTGTCTCATCCTGAGACAAAGGCTCAGAGAATGAGAAAAGAGAAACCACCCCACCTTATGACTCAGAAGGCCTGTAATCAACTTGAATGCCATGTTCCGCTTAAGTCTGGCATAACTGAGTCTTCCTCTGCCTTCAAGGGAGAGGAAAAGCACTGTCCATACAGAACTACACTCTTCTCAAAAGTCTCTGAAGGCCCTGGCCCAGCCAGAATGAACACGAGGCTGTTGACTCACACCAGAGTCAGCCATGAGCCTCTGCCGATGAGGGCAGGCCAAGTCCGGACTCCTAATCCTTTCATTCCAAGGCCTTCCCCCAAATCACTGTAGGAGCCCCTCCCACCCTGCAGGGCTGTGAAACACTCACACAGAATCCAGGTCTGAAAAACAACAAAATTCAAATGAACAACAAAATTCAAGTGAGCTAAAATCAATTTTACTCTGATCATCCCACAGTCTCCTTGAGTTTCCTAGAAGCACCCAAAGCATCTCAGAATTATATAGCAGCAGCAGCAGGGAACAAGGAAATCAGCCACGGAGCCTGGTGAAATGAAACATCCTGAAAAGGTGAAAGGAATCGTCTGGCTCCCTCTGCGAGACGCTAGGAAGATAGAAGGCACCCAGAAGAGGCCAGCTGTCCTCTGTGACCAGGAGAAGGAACCAGCCAGGTGCTCAGGTGTGAAAAGCCCAGGGGCCCGGGTTGGAACCCTGGCCTGGAAGCTAGATCCCACATGCTGCAGTAAAGAATTCACATGCTGCAACTAAAGACAGTGCATGCTGCATGGAAACTGAATAAAACAATATCACCTCTAATTTCCAGATGAGGAAACCGAGGTTCAGGAAAGCTAAGCGCACTGTCTAGCCCACAAGGTTTTGGAGAGGGCAGAGCCCAGTTTCTCCCCTCACCCCCCTGACAAAGCTTCACAGACAGAGAGGGGTCGCTGATCCTGGGGTCTCCTCCTCTGTCCTGTGCGCCTGCTCCTCCAGCAGCGCCCCCACACCCACTGCCACTCCATCCACTGCCCACAACTGAGGGGCCCATAACTCCAAGTTTTAAGCTTTAAAAAAAAAATGAAGGATAATTGCTTTATCAACAATTTGCCAACAAAGGTCTGTCTAGTCAAAGCTTTGGTTTTTCCAGTAGTCATATGTGGATATGAGAGTTGGACTACAAAGAAAGCTGAGCACCAAAGAATTGATGCTTTTGAACTGTGGTGTTGGAGAAGACTCTTAAGAGTTCCTTGGACTTCGGGGAGATCCAACCAGTCCATCCTAAGGGAAATCAGTCCTGAATGTTCAGTCGAAGGACTGATGCTGAAGCTGAAACTCCAATACTTTGGTGACCTGATGCAAAGAGTTGAGTCATTGGAAAAGACCCTGATGCTGGGAAAGATTGAAGGAGGGAGGAGAAGGGGATGACAGAGGATGAGATGGTTGGATGGCATCACCAACTCGATGGACATGAGTTTGAGCAAGCTGCGGGAGTTGGTGATGGACAGGGAGGCCTGGCGTGCTACAGTTCGTGCGGTCGCAAAGAGACAGACACGACTAAGCAACTGAACTGAATTCTTTATAATGTGTTGGTTTCTGCCATACAACACCATGAATCAGCCATAAGTATACATATGTCCCCTCCCTCGTGAGCTTCCCTCCCACCCCCCGTCCCACCCCTCTAGGTCGTAACAGAGGAGCAGAGTCTGGAGGAGGCACTGAGTCAGTGAAACCACACCTCCAGGGATGGGCAGAAGGTATCACCAGCCCTGGACCGCCAAGCTCTCAGCGAGTGCTGGAGACCACTTACACAGATGAAAGAGGAGAGGATTTGCCGGGGGGTTGTGTATGGGGATGGGGGCAGGTTGCAAGTTGGGGGCTCCCTCTCCCCGCCCCAGGAAACATGCTGGTTCCTGCTTTCGGTTCTTCCTCCCAAAGATGGTGCCATTGGGTATAAGGAGGGCTCAACAGCATCAGCAGAACCATACTGGCATCTTTTTCTATATAAATCCACTTGGTGAAGGATGTAGCCGAGCCCAAGAGGGGCTGGAATCCAGGCAAGCCCTCCCCTGCCCGTGGCCCGAGATCAGTGTTCCCATTACGTCCTGCAGCAGCACTACCCAAAGGTACCAGCAGGCAGCCAGCCAGCCTTCCATCTCAAGAACTGCAGCCCCCAGATCGCAGCCCCACTTGCCAACACAGAGGAAGGTTCAGAGACCTTTGTGCTCATAGCCAGCACGAAGCCTCCAGGGGCATCTGAATGGCGAGAGGCTGCCAAGTCAAAGGGAGAAGGACAGCCTCTTGCCTTGAAAACATTACTTCCAGATAAAGGATAACCCTCATGGGCAGAGGCAAAATACTCCATTCTAGGCTGGGGCGAATTTTTTTTCCATTTGGCCACGGCCCACGCCTGCGGGAGTGGGGCACTGTCCGCCCCTCAGCTGTTGGGCAGTGGATGGAGAGGCAGCAGGCGTGGGGGCTGCCGGAGGAGCGGGTGTAAGGACAGAGGAGAGAACTCCCGGTGGGACTGGAGGCTCTTGGTGGAAGTGCAAGGGGCCCGTCACTGCCGGCCAACCTGCTCCCCTCCACGGGACCCTGGGTTTTCCACCGGGGCCAGCTCCTCAGGGAAGCAGCTGCACAGGTACACAGACCCCACATCCAGGCGCTGCTTATGTCAACGCTCTGCCTTCACCGTCCTCCAAGCCTTATGTTTTAATATTTAATCGGAAGATAATTACCTTACAATGTTGTGTTGGTTTCTGCCATACAACAACACAACTCAGCCCTAAGTATACAACATCCTCTCCCTCTTGGGTCTCCCTCCCACGCCCATCCCACCGCCCTGGGTCATCACAGAGCACAGAGTTGAGCTCCCGGTGTTGCACGGCAGCTTCCCAGGCTGTCTGTTCTACGCGTGGTAACATGTATGTTTGGCTTTCCCTGGTGGCTCAGACAGAAAAGAATCTGCCTGCAATGCAGGAGACCCGGGTTCAATCCCTGGGTTGGGAAGATCCCCTGGAGAGGCGAATGGCTACCCATGCCTGTATTTTTGCCTGGAGAATCCCACGGACAGAGGAGGCTGACCGGCTACAGTCCATGGGGTCGCAAAGAGTCGGACACGACCGAGCAACTAACACGTCTCCTTTCAATGTGTATGTTCCAATGCTACTCTCTCTATTCGTCCCACGCTTGCCTGTCTCCACTGTGTCCACAACCGTGTTCTCTGTGTCCGTATCTCTATTCCTGCCCTGCAAATAGGTTCAGTGAAGTCAGAAAGAGAAAAACAGGTATAAGATAGCAAGTATAATAACACATGTACATGGAAGTCTTATGCTTTTTACACCAGGGTCCCCACACTCTGATTTTGCACTGGGGCCCTGCAGATTATGGAGCCGGTCCTGGTCCCAAGTGTATCACAGCAGGAAGACCACAGAACTGTGAGCCAGCCTTGAACACTCTTGATAGGAAGCCGCTCTCATCAAGGCCGAAACGTCACTTGCGGTCCCTCTTTATCTGAAGGCCACTGGGTCGGTTTACAGCTTGGCTCACCCTGAGTCACCCTGGACATGCCTCAGTGACACGGCCTCCTTCTTGGGGGAGGGACCCCGGCAGGGCCCCGTCTGTGTCACGTCGCCCAGGCAGGCCTTCACCGGGGGAGTGGGGGTCACCGCCCCCATCACCTGGGTCCAGCCCAGCCCTTGAGAAGCGCGGCTGCAGCTCTTCTGTAGGCTGAGGCCGCCTCCCAAGCAGAAGCCTGAACAGAGCCCTGCCAGCTCGGGGAGCAGGAGCGTGGCCAGGAGTCCCGCCCCCGCACTGCCGCACCCCGCGGGCAGGAAGCCCCCCGCAGGAGGGGCCCGGAGCCGCTCACCTGGTTCCCGCTCTCCCGGATGATCTCAGCTCTGGCACCTTCCGCTCGGCTGTGATCGCGACAAACCAGGTGAACTGTGCCACCTGGTGGAATCCAACAAAAGCGGCCGTGAGGGACAGCCCCAGCGACAGCCCTGGAGACCAGCTCTTCCAACGGCAGAATGAACACACGGGCTCACAGAAAGAGGACCCCACACGGAGACCGTTCTGGAAAGTCTGGACAGATGGTCCCCACAGTCAGAGCAGCAGGTGGAAAGAAGAGGGTGGTCCTGGAATCTGCGCTCCTGCCTACCTGGGCTGACAGTGCAACTGGGGCTACGTCCTGATTTTCTTTAAGGGTCTGAATACACGAAGGATGGGCTTTCCTGGTGGCTCAGGTAGCAAAGAACCCGCCTGCCAATACAGGAGACCCAGGTTCAGTCTCTAGGTGGGGAAGATCCCCTGGAGAAAGGAATGGCAACCCGCTCCACTAGTCTTGCTTGGAGGATCCCATGGACAGAGGAGCCTAGCGGGCTACAGTCCATGGGGTCGCAAAGATTAGACGTGACTAAGCGCGCACACACACATACATCAAGGATAAGAAGTCTCGGTCACACCCTCATCCCTAGCATCTTATACGGAACCTGACACGCTGGTCTCAACCCAGCTGCACTTTAGACTCACCTGGGAAGTTTTTAAAGCTCCGGCTTAAGGATGTTTTAAAAGCTCCCCCAGGAGAGTCTTATGTTCAGCCCAAGTTGAGAAGCCCCTAATATGTAGCTGGAATTTAACAAATATTTACTAAATGGTTGAATCCATAAACGGCACTCAAAACTATTCCAGCAAAAGTCACACCATCATCAATCAAGGCTTATTTAAAGGGTAATGCCTTGGCTGCGGCAGTTAAGACATAAGCATTATGGACCCTGCTTTCTTCACCTAAAACACCCGGCTTTATTAAATAGGGTCTGTTGCACAGGAGGCTGCAGGCAAACCACATAACAGGCCCTTGGCTTGATCCTCCTCCCAGCTCTTCGGAGTACCTCCCAGTTGCTAAGATGCAGTTAATCTTCCCCCTGCCCTGGCAGATAATTAAATACAGCTCCAAATGACACAATACTCCCCTGGAAAATGCCTAACTTTGGAGGGAAAAAAAAAATCTCAAGCATCTTGAAAAGTGATAAATTCCAAAGTTATTTCCCCAACTTCTGCCGGAACATCCATTTTTCCAGGAGCAGGGGCTCTGGAGAGGCATGGCTGACTTTTCTAGCCACTGCAGTACCGTTGAGTGAGCCGGGACAGTTGAGCTGATGCAGACAATTCAGCATTTACCTGGAGGAAGACTTCAGCTGATTGAATAATACGGGCACCCAGAGAGCCTCCTTCTAGAACCAAGCTTTGGGAGGAGAGAGAGGAGGCAGTTTCCAGCTGCTTGAACTCCAGAGACTGAAGACCAGGATCAGCAGGAAGGAAGAAGACAGCTCACTGCACCCCCTTCCATCATTCTGGGGGCTCTGTTCTCAACTAGGGCCCACGGCCAAGCTGTGATAGACTCCCAGCCTCTCTCCTACCCCCTTCCTCCCACCCCCATTCTCATTGACGAGACAGGAACTAGGGACCAGGTGTCCAAGTTTTGTGTTTTCTTTTAAGTTTCCACTGGTGATTCAGATGCCTATGGTTAACTGGAGCCCCTTACTGTTCTTAATCAGAAAACACTGCCATGTGGACGGGACCCCAGCGCTCCTGTGAATGAATGAAGTGTTGAGGACAGCTTCCTCCAGCCACCCACTCTGTCCACCTCTAGTCTGAGGCTTAATGCACAGCAAAGTTCTGTCTGGTCAGAGCTACGGTTTTTCCAGTAGTCATGTACAGATGTGAGAGTTGGACCATAAAGAAGGCTGAGTGCCGAAGAAGTGATGCCTTCAAACGGTGGTGTTGGAAGAGACTCTTAAGAGTTCCTTGGGCGGCAAGGAGATCAAACCAGTCCATCCTAAAGAAAATCAGTCCTGAATATTCACTGGAAGGACTGATGCTGAAGCTGAAGTTCCAATACTTTGGCTACCTGATGCGAAGAGCAGACTTATTGGAAAAGACCCTGATGCTGGGAAAGATTGAAGGCGGGAGAAGAAGGGGGCAACAGAGGATGAGAGGGTTGGATGGCATCATCGGCTCCATTGACATGAGTTTGAACAAGCTCCAGGAGATAGTGACAGACAGGGAAGCCTGGCGTGCTGCAGTCCATGGGGCCACAAAGGGTCAGACATGACTGAGCGACTGAACAAGAGAAAGCCGGCAGCTGTGCCAATTAGCACGGGGTCCCTATTCAGGGCTCCTGGCCATGCCGGCTGGGGCCTTCCCGACCCCCATGTGACACAGGGCCCTCTCCCCGATGTGGATGGGCCACAGGCTGCCCTCGGGGCCCAGCACACACACGACTTAGCAGGCTGCTCACCTCGCTTGGCAATCTCCATGGCGGTCGCTTTTCCGATACCGCTGTTCCCCCCGGTGACCATGAAGGCTCTTCCGGGAACTTGGACCTCCAAGTCATCAGGGACAAAGTCCTTGGATGCAGACTCATAGCCAGTCCTGGAAGCAGCAGACCCACAGAAGGAATGGACATTAAGGAACAGGGAACACAACCTCCTGCAGTGAGAAAGCCCAATCCTGGGCTGGGCGCAGTGCTCTCCCCACACGGCAGACAGCCCCTTCCGCCCTGGGCCCCTGCTCTCCTCCCTGGTCTGTGAACAACACCACCTTCTCAGCGCCTATACCATTAGCTTCCTGAACTGAAAATACCTGGAGATTCCAACAGTTTGGCAGCCAAACTATTTTTCTCTGACTGCCTCTAATAACAGGAGGTGCCCCTGCCCCTTAAAACATTCTTTGAAAGGTTTTCTTATTTTTATTTTTTTGGCCTTTTCCCCCACATTGGGGCGAATGGAGAGGAGCTCAGGAGACCAAGAGCACCATGCCCACTGCACCCCAGGACAGGTGTCCCTCCCCAGGTACAAAAGGACCACAGCAAAGTGGGGAGACATGCAATTTGGGAATGAGGAGGGGCAGGTGCAGTTATGCGAGGGCTGCACCCCTTAAAGGAAGCAAGGCTCCTTCAGGGCCACAGGGTGTGTGCTGAACACTCGAGGGGGCGCCGTCTAGGTCATAATGATGGCCCATTTGTATCTGTATCAGGACAACTTTCTGCCCGATTGAGAAGGAGGTGCTTTTTCCAATTGACCCAAAGGCATCATATTGTCCCCCCCAAACAACTCTGGGGGACTTCCCTGATGGTCCAGTGGTTGAGCCCACACTCCCAATGCTGAGGGCACTTGTTCGATTCCTGGCCAGGGAACTAAGATCCTGCATGTTGCGGGGTACGGCCAAAATAAATAAGTAAGATGAAGAGATAAAGAAAGAAAGAACTCTGAATTCTTCAACTGCTTCTCTCTGCTCTGTGAGACTCCTCGTCTATCTTGACTGTCGTAGTAGTCAATATTCCTGGTTACAGAATTGGCTGGGGGAGTGGAGAGGGATTGGCAGGAGGAGACCCTAAGGTCAGAGCTCGCCCCACACTCCGGCAGGCTGGGGGTCTCAGCCTGTTTCTCTCGCCCAAAGAGCTGATTCTCTGCAACACAGGATGCAACTCTTCTCCCCCCAGGGTTCTGGGAGGCGCCTGGTGCCCTCTGCATGCCCTATTTATGCGCAGACTGCCAGCAGCTGGTCTCCTGCCCCACACCCTAGTATAGCACAGCTGCCAACTACAGGCCTGGATGCCAGTGAAGAGGGCCAAAGAATGTTTCTGAGACCAGGTTTGGTCTGAAGTCATTGCCACAGGGGCGGTCACTGCCCCTGGTCTCACAGTCAAGAGACCAAGAAGAATGTTTCTGCTGCTGTTCTCACCATCTGGAACTCTTCCAGACATCCAGGGCAGCTTTTCATCGCCTCGGCTGTGAGCAGCCCACTCAGTGGGGCAAGCAAGGCTTCTGACTGTTCCAAGGCTTCCTGAAAGGCCGACTTGAAACTCAGTGTAATCTCAATCATAAAGGTTTTGGAGCCAACAACCTGGATTTAAATCTCAGCCCTGCCTCCTAACAGCTGTGCCTTCTCATATGTTGTTTTAACCCTTCTGAGCTCCAGTCTTTTCATCTGCACAAAGGGAAGTAGCTTCTAACAGAAGCTACTTCTTGAGCAGCCTAGGTGAGATAATTATGTAAAGCATCTATCATATGCTTTGGATAAGTTAAGAACTCAATCCCAGGTGACCCAGTGGTCACCCGCCTGACAATGTAGGAGACACAAGTTCGATCCCTGGATCGGGAAGATCCCCTGGAGAAGGAAATGGCTACCCACTCCAGTATTCTTGCCTGGAGAATCCCATGGACAGAGGAGCCTGGTGGGCTACAGTCCATGGGGCTGCAAAAGAGTCAGACATGACTTAGTGACTAAACAACACCATAGTTGCTATTATTACTACTAGTATTAATATTAGTACCTTTCATGTTCAAAACTAAGCTCATTTGCTTGCTCCCCTCCCCTGCTCGCCCACCAGTCCTTCAAATCATTAGAGACTCTGAGAATAACTTAAACTATAACCAAAGATGAAGCTGGAAGATTTGGTTTGCCTCATGGGTGGACGTCCCAGAATCACTGTGAAAAGATTTTCTTGCAAAGGAAAAGAGGTTTCTTGGAAAGAACCCAGGATCAGGGGATCAGTGAGGGGCCCAGGCAGGAGAAGGCGCTGGTGGAGAGGGAGAGGGAGCTTTCAAGAAGAGCAGGCTACAGAAAACACACCCCGGCTAAATGCCCCACGGGGACCAGGCCCCAAGACCCCTCCTCCCCAGGCAGGAAGCTGACGCACAGCTAGAGGAGACTCTAGCCTCTGGGTTACCACGTTGATCCTATTAGGGAGTAAGGTTTGCTGAGGGTGGCTCTGGTGGATTAAAGTCTTCCTCAAATCCCAGGCTGTGAGCCAGCTGCCAGGTGGGTGGAGCCAGGCTGGCCTACAGGACATGTCATAACTCCCTTTGTCCTTTGTCTTCAACACCGGGATTCCACCCTGATCCACCCGGATCCAATCCGCTGTTAATAAGATTTAGCTTTTTTCTCATCCTCCTGCCCTCTCTTTTTATTTTTATAAAATCCTCATATCAGTCCTTATTTTTCAGATGCAGAGAGAGGTGAATGACTTACCCAAGACCATAGGATGGTAGGTGATAAAGCCCACAGCAGTTTCCATACTCTCTACACTGAGCCTAAGAGTGGTGCTCAGCATCACCAGTGGGGCTCAGAAGAGTGGTCCCCAGAGGGGCAACATCAATATCACCTGGGAATCTTTCTACAGAGTCAGAAATTCACAACAGCAGGGAAAACCACCTAAGCTTACACACCTCCTACCCCACAAAAGAGTTTGGGGAGAGACTTTCAGAAGCCTGCTTTCCCGGGGGGCAAAAAGCTGACTCAAGCTCTTCATGCTGCATTCTGTGTAACACAGAAAGATCCAGCAAATGGTGGTAAGCCTATGACTATGCTACTATAATGGGGTATGGACCCAATATATGTTAGGATCAGAAAAGCAACGGACCCTGAGTGGGTCACTCAACTATTAGGCGATCTCATAGTTGTTTTGCAAAAGAGCAGGGAAAAGAGATGAGATTCCATACATAGAAGCATTTATGCTATTGCGTCAGGAGAAAAAGGAGTCAGAGAACTACTACCTTATCGTGCAGAGGTCTAAGAGAAAACCCACCGGGGTACCTAGATAAAAGAGCTTAAACAAAAACAGATAAAACAAAAACCAACTGAGGATCCATCATAGTTTCTAGAAAGGGTTTATCAAGTTTATAGGTGCCACACAGATATAGACCCTGAGGCCCCTGAGAATGTAAGGATGATAAGTACGGCCTTCATCAGGCAAAGCGCTCCAGAGGTTAAAAAATTATAGAAATTAGATAGTGTATTTGAAATGAATCCTGCTCAGTTAGTAGATGTTGTTCTTAAAAGTATTCAACAGCAGGGAACAGAGACAGAAGGAGATGCAAAACGGAATACAGGTTTTCGGGAAGCAGCACTAAAAATAAGGGACCTAAAGGAGGGCTCCCAGCGGCTCAGTGGGAAAGACCCTGCCACCAAGGTAGGAGATGCGGGTTCAGTCCCTACTTTCAGGTCGGAAAGATCCGCAAGAGAAGGAAATGGCAACTCACTCCATTTTTCTTGCCTGGAAAATTCCATGGACAGAGGAGCCTGGCAGGCTACCGTTCATGGGGTGGCAAAGAGTCAGACACAACTGAGTGACGGAGCACACATGAAACCTAAAGGCAGACCACCACCGGGGAAGGAAGAACATGCTTACTGCCGGGAGGAAGGACACGGGAGAAGAGATTGCCCCAAACTAAACAATAATCAAAGGAGGACAGGAGCCCAGGTCACACTGACAGTGGGGAACAAACTGACTGACTCTAACTGATATCACTCTCCTTTGTAAATTAAAGGCTCAAGTAACCTTTCCCCAGAACTGCTTGACATCAGGGTCCCACCAGGGCTTTTTTGATCTCGTGCCTTTGGGGATTATGGCTCCAACTTGGGGAGCTTCAGCTCCATTTGGGGGGCTTTGGCTCCAATTTGGGGTGTTCTCCCTGTGAAGGGAAATAAGGTGCTTTGGACAAGGGTCACAAGTCTAGTGGAACTAGGAGGTCACATTTGAGGCAGTTTTGCCATTTGACTCTGAAGGTGACTTTCTGGCTGGCAAGGTTTTGGTTTGATTTGGTTACTTTGAGCACAAAGGCTTCTAGTACTAACTGCTTGAGCTAAAATGGGAAGCACTTCCTCTAAGGTTCCACTCCCACCTGGGAGCCCCTTGGGAAGTTTTAATGACTGGCTGAAATCTAGGGAAGATCCTCAAAAGTGTTTGTAAATAGATTACCGAAATGGGAAGCCATGGGTCTGACTAAACTAGACATAGCTGATATTTACAGCCTAGCAGGAAATTTGGAAGTGACCTCCTCTAAGCTAACTTTCCAATATAGGTAAATGGGTATGTCAGTCCTTCAGTATCATTGAGGTAGCCACCCAATTCTTTGAAGAAAAAAGAAAAAAACCTGTCCTTATTTTAGAATCTTTCCGGGACCAGAAGTATGGTTCCAAAAAAATAATCCAAAACCTACTAATCCTTTTACCACTCCCAAGACCTTCCCTGTTTATCTTAAAAGGAAGTTTGTAAGTATTAATACAACTTAGAAACTAAACAAGAACAACAAAGTATTATAAACGGGAAATGAAGTTATCCTAAGAAAAAATTGCCTGTATCTTTGCAAATGTTCTACTGGGTCTTCTCAGGAGCCCTTATCTCCACCATCTTTTTAAAATGCAAATTTTGAAAAAGAGTAATTTGGACTTGCTTTCCATAAATATTAGTAAAAAGAGTTTAGCCATCTAGATAAGTGAACTTGATTTATTCCATCTGCCAGAAATCCAATCTTAATCTGACCTCTTTTGTAGACTGATGAATTTTACATTGCTGTACCCAACTCAGGGCTGAAATCTTGAAATGAGAACAGAATTTGGCTTTTCTCTGTTAGAAAGACAAGTTTTGTTAAGATGTCAAACTACCTTTGATAACAGATTTTAAGTTCTTTACCTTTTAAGTTATCTATTCTGCATTTGCCTTTGAAATCTTTTACTGTTACTTTAGCTAAGTGAATAACTATTGTTTCACAGAGACTTATAATCCTGTTGTGTTTTAAAACCCTTTTGATGTTGTTTTGACAAAATTTCCCAAATCAAATTATAATAAAGTTTCTTTGACCTCTAGCTAAACTTTGGGATGCTTCAAAGGGTCTTTGAAACATCCCAAGGAAACATTAAACGCATTAGGTTCACTTGGTATGTTAAATTACAATGGGAAGTGCTATCAAATGAGTAATAAATCTTCTCAGGTTATATTTTATGGTAAATGATATTCTAGAGATTATATGAAATTTTGATGTGTCCTGGTATAAAGTATTATGGTCATAATTCTAGTTATTATCTGAAAGTGTGGCATGTCACAGCAGTAACCTAGGTGCTTTAAATGTGGCTTCTTAAGTCTTTTTGTTATTATAGATAGTTAAGATTTCACTTTGATGCCATTGCAAAAACGCCTCCCCTTCAAGAAGATTTATAAAAAGGACTTTTGGATAAATGCAAGTAATTCTAATGGCTTCACAAAGCTGTTAACAAAAAGGATTCGTTACAGGGGAACTGAGTGAACTGGTAGATATGGTTATGGTTTTTGTGGTTTCTATATAAAGAAAATTACTGGTTTAAATCTGTTTCCCAGGGGTAAGGAAAATCTGCCCTTTAAACTAATTGATCATTGTTCTAATTTGGTCTTTGTTTCCCAATTGTTTGTGCCCTGTGCCTCCTTGATCACTGTTGTTAATGTCACTAACTGCATTACTTATATCCTGTCTAATTTATAAGACGGTTGTCTCTTACAATACCCAGGGTGTAACCAGGCCTTGAACAAAACTTATATGGCTAAAAACATAACATAAAAATCATTATAATAGTGTAATTCTAAATATGGGAAGAAGCAACGGGAGGGAAAATGTCTCCTGGATCATAATCAGGCACAAGATCCAGAGAATCTTTCCTTATTGATGGGGGTCGAATCCAAAATTTAGCAACTAGAGTGGCATATCAAAGAATTTTTTCCTGATCTGGGATGAGCCTTCCAGTGCCATGGGACCAGATTTGATCATGAACTGTCTCCCAAATACTGGTCAAATTCCTGACCAAGAGGGGAGGAGCTGAGAAATGGAATATTTCCTGCCCTATCAGTCATCTGCAATTGGAGTCTTCCAACATGAGCCAATGAGCCCTGAGGAAACTCAGGAAGGAGATACCTGCCACCTAGCAGTCATCAGCCTTGCAGCCATCCTTATGGTGAGCCTTGAGGAAACTCAGCCTGTGAGAACACAGGATTAACTGCCCCAGATACCTGAGGGTACATATCAAGGAAATAATTTTAAAGAGCCCTGACTCTTGCATCTTCCCATACATAGAAAAGCCCTAAATTCTTAAACTTAAGATGCTGCCTCTGGGTTTGAAGTTCAGTATTCTACAGATATAAAGTGGACATTTTCCAAAGAGGAACGAAGAAAGACAAATCTCAACATCTGGGACACTGGCAACTGGCATGGATGGCCGCAAACACTTCACAAAAGATCCATCTGATGAAGCAGTTAGAAAGTCGTCACCCTCTTTATTTCCAAGATTGTGGAAGGGACATTGATAGTGGGAAATATTGCAGGAAAAAGCCAATTCTGACGCCATGATGGATCTGTTTCTTTGACTTTAACCTTTGTTTTACAATGCTTTAGTTATTATAATCCTACATAATGACCTGCCTCAGGGAATCCTGCCCCTCTGCCAGAAGAATGGGAACACATCTCTTCCCTGAGGTTGGCCATTCCAGGAGATACTTACAAGATAATGGTCACTACTTCCTCAACTCCAACCCCTCTCTATCCTGTACAAGAACCTCACCCAGATGCGCAGCAAGGTGGTTATTTTGAGACTTGAGTCTGCCATCTTGTAGATCTGTTGACTTTCACAATAAAAGTTGTATTCCTTGCCTCAACATTTTCTCTGGTTAACTGGCCTGTGTATAGCGAGGAGACTGAGCTTGGACTCAGTAACATTTCCCACATTTTCTGCAGCACTGCCCCTGAGGAGGGTCTGCACTTTTTCAAAAATGCTTCTGCAAGCCGAGAAGGGAGGAACAGCAGCTGCCTCCCCTTGGAATGATGCCTGGAGTCCTGGGATGATGGAAATTTGCCCAGGTAGCCTTGCTGCTGCTGGTGCTGCTGCTGCTAAGTCGTTTCAGTCGTGTCCGACTCTCTGCGACCCCATAGACGGCAGACCACCAGGCTCCGCCGTTCCTGGGATTCTCCAGGCAAGAACACTGGAGTGGGTTGCCATTTCCTTCTCCAATGCATGAAAGTGAAAAGTGAAAGTGAATTCACTCAGTCAAGTGTTCGACTCTTCGCGACCCCATGGACAGCAGCCTACCAGGCTCCTCCGTCCATGGGATTTTCCAGGCAAGAGTACTGGAGTGGGCTGCCATTGCCTTCTCCCAGGTAGCCTTAGGAACTGATAAAAATACTGATAAAACTCTTAAGGAAGGGAAGAGAGGAAGTCTCTTAGAGAAGAGGGTTGCATAAGAGCCTGCAGATTTTTTTTTTTAATAAAATATCAATCTAGGCCCCAGTGCACATCAATTGTATCAAAATGTCCAGTGGGAGGGCCTGAAAGCTGGTATCCTCAACAATTTTCTGCCGGTGATTTCTGGTTTCAAACAGGCATGAGAACCACTGGGAGAGACTAATTCTAACATTAAAAACCACCTCTCCACCTCCCAGAAGTGGCCACCCCTCAAAGACCACAGTGAGGGGGCGGGTCGACTGGGGCACAGCCAGGGTGATCACGGGGCGATGTGAGGGGGTGGGGGCAGGGACCATCAAGCAATGTTCAACAAGCTCACACTGGACGCGTGGTCTACACCCGCCCTGAAACTCGTGCCCGGAATATTCCAGCTGGAGGGAGCGGTCACAGTCCACAAACCGCATTTTATTAGTAAGGACAAAAACACACCCAGCAAAGTACTAAGCGGGGTCTCAACCAGCAATTTAGAACTAACCCCTTCTTACGCCGAAAACAGCCCCAATGAGACAAGAGCCAGAGCACGCCCAAGCGGGGAGTCCAGGCAATGCCCGGGAGGCTCGCAGACCCCTGGGCAGCCTGACGTCAGTGGGTGGGGCCCCGCGAGTACAAGCCCCGCCCCCGGGCGCCAGCCCCGCCCCTCGGGCGCGCGCCGGGCCCAAAGAGCGCCCCCGGGTTGGGTCGCGGCTGCGGCTGGTGGGCTGCCAGCAGGCGAGCGCCTCCGTCGCTTAGTGGGTCCGAGTGATCGCAGGGGAGCCGCGGGCGCGTCCCCGCTCATCCCGCCCGCCTACGCCGAAGCAGGCCGCATGACGGCCGGCCGGCCTGCCCGCCCCCGGGCCGCGGGCCCCGGCGCGGTACCCCGCGCACCCTTACTTGGTGTATTCGCGCAGCCCCTTGGCGAACCACGCGGCGCTGCGGTAGAGGAGCATGGTGGGCCGGGCGCCGCACGCAGAGTCCCGCGGCCCCGCGCTCCCGGGCCCCCGCCCCGCCCTTCCGGGCCCGCCAGAGGTTACATCATCGCAGTTATGTAAACGCCACGGCCTCCGGGGCTGGTCCCCGCTGGGAATGCGGCGGGGTCTCGGTACGATGCGGAACGGCGCCTCCCCGCCCCCCCGCCCAACGCCCCGGTCCTGCCTGCCCTGCCGCGGCTCTGGAGAGCGCCCCACTCCGGCCCCCGGCCTCAGGCAGGGGGAAGGGAGGGCAGACCCTGCAGGGGTGGAAGCCGGAGTCAGTACCTGTTGGGGGTTACCTGCCAGCTGGGTATCACTGGGACGCAGAGCTGGCACCGCAACCCACCTCCTCGAATCTGATGACCCAGAAAATCGTGTGGACTCAAAACGAGGAGGCTTACTGATACTAAAAAGATGTCTCCTTCTGATGGGTTTTAGCATAGGGGTTACTGAAAAACTAGTATTTTCTGTTTCCACCTATCTTATTTCACGAAATACCCGCAGTAACGCAGCGGAGGGACAGTGCTTCCTCAGCAGGTGCAATAAGCCTAAAGTGCACACAGTAATCCGCCTGGGGCGAGGCAGAATGGGTCTCCCTCCTGAGAGTAAGTCTGTCTCGGAAGTATAGGCTTTTGCCACAGTTCTGCAATGTCATGTAGTGTCAGGAAGGGGCCCTTTATCGCCTTCAAATCGTCATCCGCCTTCGCAATCCCCCAAGGCCAAATAAACACACAGTGCAAGTGAAAAAAAAAAAAAAAGCATAGTGGCTATGCCAACCCACATGCTAGACTAGTCATCCAGCCCACTCTGGGCCCCTGTTATGTAGGAGTCAGGCACCCCTGTCCCCATCTGACCTCGATCTCTAACTCCCAGTTAGGAAAGCCTCACTCGGTTAAATTCTGTACTGGTTTATCAGACTCACCCAGAGACTGAGCCATTCTTACATAAGATGTGCGGAGACCACCTGGTTTAATGGTCTCATTACCTACGGGTAGAGGATACAGGTTCACTGCCCCCTCCCAAGTGGGCGTGTTTTTAACTCAGGATACCTTTTGAAATACATTTCCCCAGAACAGCTTGCTCCTCTGAACAGGACTGTGAGGTTCCCCTGCATTGCTTGTCTTCTTGCCAGAGCGATGAAAAGGAGTTTAAACAACTGGCATTCTGCAAAGCCAGCCAGCCTGGTGTGACTTTTCAATGCCAGTAGGGTTGGACCAGGAGAGCATTTTGGACCCCCAGAGTTAACACAACTGTGCTTTGTACCCTCGGCTTTGTGTCAGTGATGGAAGAGCTACCAGTCTGTTCAGAAACTCACCACCTCAGGAAATGTGCTTTTGGCTCACAGAGTGGGTGAGAAGTTCCTGTGAACCACACGGTGTATTGAGGGCATCAGCGGCACCTTGCTGTAAAAGGGTGGGTGGAAACTTAGCTCTCTCAACCTGCCGTGTAAACCCTGGTGTGCTGCAGACCTACTCCGACTTAGTTTTCTTATTGGTAGCGTGGGGGTGAATATGCTCACTTCATGGGGCTGTTGTGATGATTAAATGCATTTGTAAAGAGCTCAGCAAAATGCACGGTTGTGGTCAAAAAAACGTTCATTTCTCACCCTAAGTTTTCTTCTCATTCTTTCCCCCCTGCAATGCAGCCACTCCATGTACATTCCATGCATGTTCTGTTAGTGCATGAAGCATGTAATGTTTACCCTCAAATCAGCAAGTATCCACTAGGGACTGCGCTGTACACAATTCATAGGGGGTTTTAGGAAAAGACAACCGACATCTCAGAAGGGACCTCCATTCTTCCTTGGATGACAAGGAACAAGAAAGAAAGGACAGGATGGGATTCGTGGGCATAGGGTCCAGTTTAAGGACTTAGCTGAGCTGGATTTTGGTTCTGTTTTGTCACTGATTCTCAGTGTGGCCCTGGGTAATAGTAATAAAATTTATGGCCACCTGATGGGAACAGCTGATTCACTGGAAAAGACCCTGATGCTGGGAAAGATTGAAGGCAGAAAGAGAAGAGGGAGACAGAGGATGAGATGGCTGGATGCCATCACCAATTCAATGGACATGAACCTGGGCAAACTCCAGGGGATGGTGAGGGACAGGGAAGCCTGGCGTGCTGCAGTCTGTGGGGTTGCAGAGTCAGACACGACTTGGCAACTGAACAAGTCCAAACGTTATGGATTATGTCACTTAATCCCTACGATGACCTAGTAAGGTTGCTCTGGCTATCATCTCCATTTTACAGATGAACAAAACTGAGGCTTAGAGGGGAAGCCACTTGGCTGAGGTCACAATAAATGCACCCTGGAGCCAGGATTTGAGCCAGGCAGTGTGATTTCAGAGCCAATGGCCTCTCAGTGGACCATATTCTATGGGGGCAAGTCACTTAACCTCTGGGCCTGTTTACTCATCTAAATGAAAAGGACATTAGAGAGGTGACATCTGGGGCCCCTTCACGCTCTTTCTATGACCAATAAGAGAATTACACAAAGATGTTAAATAAGTTGGGCCCAGGGTGCTTTTAAAAGAGCAATATCCAGTGGGTGTCTTTGCTTCATTTCAGGCAGGGAGAAAGCCTGGAAGATATCTCTTCTCTGTCTCTAGTTTCAATTTGCTAGTCAAAGGCCACACAAAGAAATCACCCTCCAAAGCCTCCTTCTAATCGATTTAGAGTCCTGAAGCTAATTTTGACCAAACTGGAAGGAGAAGCAGAAGGTGAGGATTGAGAAGTCCATGGCTTTCTGCACCAGAGATCTACATGATGGGAGGTCTGCGTGTATACACACACACACACACACACACACACACACACACACACCAGTGTTTGCATCTCTTCCACTGAAACTCAGTACCAGTTTCTCCAACCCAGTTGTCATGGCAACACCAGCTGCCAATGAGATCATGGAAGACAAGGTTATAATGGCAGTGCTGCCTTAATATTTTACCTGGCAAAACCACTTAGATAATAAGATGAATAACCATAAATCATAAATCCATGGGAAGCCCAGGCACTGCTCACTGTATGTGTTTAGTGTGCACTTGGGGGTGGGGAGGAGAAGTGAAAGCGAAGGGAAGGAAACAAAAAGGAAGGAGGGTGAGGCAGGGGGTGGGGAGGAGGGTCTCTGATACTGCTCCCTGTTATTCCTCAGTGTCCGGACCCTCTCTGTACATGGATTGAGGAACCAGTCTCTTCTGTATTCACGAAAAGGGATGGGGGCTCCCAGCCTGACTGACAAAAGGATTATAAGAAACCCAAGGCTGTTTTTTTGGGGTTCACACTAAGACAGGAGAGAAGCAGCTCAGGGGTGACATGGCAGACAATAACCCACCCACTCCAGCACCCAGCAGGAGGCAGGACCCCTCTTAGAACCGCCTTTGTGGTTATCTTCCCAAGTCCCTTGATGCCACCTGCTTTTACAGATGCGCTACCCCTGGGGCAACTGTCTATTGCTCATCTGAACCAACTCCCTGAAGAGCAAATCCACTGATTTAAGGGTTTTCTTCCTTTCACGGGAACTAATCATGGGGCGGCAGGGGGCAGGGGGACGTCCTTTGGTAAGAGCTTTGTCAGTGGGGAAGGAGACTCTGCTTACACCAAACACCCTTTTGTGCCTTTGACTTTTGTACTGTGTTCATGAATTCCTTATTCAGATCGAAAAACAGGCACTCCCTGGTGGTCTAGTGGCTAAGACTCCATGCTCCCAATGCAGGGGGCCTGGGTCTGATCCCTGGGCGGGAAACTACATCCCACATGCTGCAACTAAAGACCCCACAAGCCAAAACTAAGACCTGGTGCAGCCAAATAAATTGATCAAATAACTATTAAAAGGTTTATAACTATAATGAGGTCTTCCCTCATAGCTCAGTTGTTGAAGAATATACCTGCAATGCAGGAGACCCAGGTTTGATTCCTGGGTTAGAAAGATCCTCTGGAGAAGGAAATGGCTACCCACTCCAGTATATTTGCCTGGAGAATCCCATGGACAGAGGAGCCTGGTGGGCTACAATCTACAGGATCGCAAGAGTCGGACACGACTTAGCGACTAAACCACCACCAACTATTAAAAAAAAGAAAACATATGATGGTCCACCTTCATTCTCCAGCCCTGTCCACCCTTCAAGAACCAAACACATGGATGAGATGGGCCAAGGGCAGGGCAGTCGTGATGCCTGGGTCCATCAGTCACCCTGTAAGTGGATGAATGAAGGAAATGATTCCCGGCAGATGTGGCTTATGTTGGTCTGAAACTCTCACACAGTCTGTTTCTAGGGCTGCTTCCGGGCAGGCAGGTTCTGAGTGCAAAGTTTTCTCCAGTGAGGTTCAGGGGCCAGAGGTAAGTGCTCTGATGCTCTGAGGGGTTGTTGTGCCTTGCCCTGACCAATGACTCCCAGTACCACCCGGTTCTCACTGCTGGCTCCAGACAAGGGCCACCAGGGGCAGGGAGAGGGTGGCAGACACACAGTGGCAAGAGCTGGGGTCAAAAATCAGAATATCTACATTCAACCCTGATTCCTCTTCAAAGGAGACACCCCACCTCCCTAAGCCTGAGTTTCCCCCAAACCGCATTCCACCCACCCAGTCCTTGGGGCGTAGGAATAAGGATGGAATAGAGGACCTTTTCTCTTATTTAATAAGAGCTTATACTCCACTTGCCAGGTACCAAGCACTGTTCTAAGCTCATTTAAAATGAGCAGACTGCAGCACAGAGAATTTCAAGGCATGTCCATGATGACACTAGAATCTAGAAAGGACCAGAGCCAGGATTCCAACCTGACAGTTAGGATCTAATCCCTTTTCTGTAAGGATGGGACACATCTCCTGGTGGCTTCTCTTCAGTCTCTTCTTTAAGTCGTGTCTGTGGAGCTGGAAGGGCTTCCCCGGTGGCTCAGGAGGTAAAGAATCTGCCTGAAATGCAGGAGACCTGGGCTTGATCCCTGGGTCAGGAAGATCCCCTGGAGAAGGGATATACTACA